CTCTCTCTCTCTCTCTCTCTCTCTCTCTCTCTCTCTCTAATAACTAGTTTGAATATTAAACATAGTGAGGTAGATATGTGGGGGCATGTTAGAACGAGCCGTTTTAGGTAGGTGTGGCTGACTCTGAACTTTTATAAAGAATATCTCTTTGGATTTGAGACTTTAGTCTTTGCAACTTTACAGATCTTCTTTATGCACCAAGAGCTTGTAACACTCCAAAGAGAAAGGAAAAATTGAAATCGCATCATATGACCCCTTTAACTTTTATAAAGAATATCTCTTTGGGTTTGAGACTTTAGTCTTTGTAACTTTAGGGATCTTATCTATTCACGAACAGCTTGTAACACTCCAAAGAGAAAGGTAAACTTGAAATCGCATCATATGACCCTTTTAATGTTAAGATACAGCTTAAGGTATGACAATGTAAGAATGACGTAGCATTAAGAGGGTTTAGGGAAACACACCCCAGATCCTTAAGCCAAGTAGACATTGAATGCAACTTTCAAAATAAGTGTAAAACTGGACACCGTGGAGGTATAGTTTTTATTTAGCATGAAAGAGAACTGTTTTCAAATTCAGATCTATACATACTGTACAGATCTATACATATAAATACATATAATTTACTACTAATAAGTTAATGATAATACTAATATTAATACATTATAAATGTTTTAACTATAGTTTAATGCATTCCTGCTGAATTAGTCAGTTTCTTTCAAACAAATCTTACTGACCCCAATGTATACACAAAAATATATAATATATTACATAAATATGTAAAATAAATATTCACAGAAATATTGGTACCTTTCTACTCATTACAAAAAGTTAGCACTTCCCACCATTTAAACTAGCTGAATGAGTATTTATAAGATTGTTATATTAATTAGAAGATAATGGTCTACATAAAGCATCATTACAATACAACTGTTAACCAGGAAAACGCTCTATCATAGCAACCAAATGCACCCCTATTTCTCATAAACAGGTTATAAATCTAGGACCTCTTGCATCAAAATCAAATAACTTAATGCTCAATTCAAAATTTAAATTGTTTAAATTTTTGTAAAAAAAAAGTCTTGCATTTTTTGATGCTTTGGCTGCATCTGAATATTAGACTGAGATTTCATCATGTTTCCTTTTGCATGGTAAATGTTTTTTGCCTTTGGGCTTATCACGCCACAGGCACAGAGTGAGTCAGGACTGCTGCCGGTACTCCCTCCAAAACAGTATGTGCACAACGCCCGATTCCACTGGTTAGTAAGATTGGACTGGGAACAATATGACATGATGGAAGGGGAGCACAATGAATGAGAAATGAGAGCAGGGACAGATGGAAGCATCGATCGAAGTTATTAGTTGAAAAGTAAGAGCAGCGAAATGAAGAGAGGCATAATTGTGTGCAAGGCATCATGGGATGGATAGAATTAAACCATGATGTGATGATAAAGCACAAGCTATAATTCACAGAGGAGAAAAGAGAGAGAAAGAAGTGTTGAGAAGCAGGTGCGCGGGCGGAAAGGAAGGTAGAATGAGGGAGGCATGAGAGATGAGGGTGATTTGTTTGAACAGTTCACTCATACTGTTCAGTGTGTTGGGCAACTAGAGAGGGTTACAGAAGTCAAGCACTGTGTGGGAGTGTGTGTGTGTATGTGTGTGTTTTACATGAAATGTGTCATACTGAATGTGTTGTCTATCATGGAAAGATCTGACCTGTGTGAGTGTATGTTGATTCTAAAGGGTGCATGTGAGTCATTTTGGAGGCGGGTGAATGACCGTGCGCCACATATGAGCTTTTGCGTGTGTTCAGAAGTGGAAAAATTATGATATCTAATGCACCAGTATTATAATTCTGGCTAATACCGGTAAACTGACCAATAATGTTGGTTATAATATATTATGTTTTAGAAGGATTATTAATTTATACATTAAAATGTGAATATGTATGCTTATTTACACATTGTCATAATGTAAACAGGAAGTCAGTGAATAGACTAATGTAAGACTAATGTAACTAAGTTTATTTCCCATTCATTTCGAATAAGACATAACTGTAAAATTATTTGCAGTTCAGTGAGGGAGTCAGTTGTAAATTTTTGCCTGAATAAAGTTTGAAGATGGCATGAAATGGAAATTCACCCTACCTATTTTCTAAATGCATCTTATTGATCTTATTGCGAATGATTCATCCATCAATCCATCCATCTCTCCATGTCATTTAAAAAAAAAAAAAAAAAAAAAAAAAAAAACTTTTTAATCAAAATGTCTTAACTCAATCTTTCGGTTGTAGCGAATCAGCTCATGGGGAAATATGAATAATTAACCATAACTAGTTATAATTAACTATTCATATTTTAGATCCACTGTAGATATTTAGCTGACCACTCAGGGTCAACTGTCTTGTCAATTCTAAGACGTTAATTTCCTGGTTAAGGGAAATAACTTTCTTACTGTACAATTCTATAAGTTTGTAACGTAAATCTGCATGATTATTGACTCCGGTTATGAGTAAACACTGAACACGTCAAGTGTGATACAAGTAAGGTTTTATTAACTACATAAACACTTAAACTAGTCTAACATACTACATAAACACATTAAGCCGGTCTAACATACACATACACACACACACACACATACAGTTGGTATAGGAAAGGGTTAAAGTTTAACTCAGCATAGAAAGAGGCATAAAGAATGGATTTTATGGAACACTTTGCATGTATATTCAACAGATCAAAGCCTTCAGGGATACGTCAGATTCTGAG